CTTCTTAGCATGCATGAAGCCCTAGGTTCCATCCTCAGCACTGCACACACACACACACACACACTTATCAGTTATTTACTGTCTGCTTTCTTCTTCTAAATTATACAACAGCAAGAAATTCATCTACTTTGTTCTGCACTGAATACTTAGTGGTTGCATAGAAAAAAGAATTCCAAAAGAAAGAAAGAAAGAAAAATTTCCATGATGCTAATGAAGGCAGGGCCATCCTAAGAGTGTGCCCATCTGTCACCTGCCTTGGTTTGTGCTGCTGAAGGCTTGTGGTGCCCGTGAGAACTCCTACCATTGGTGGCCCCACCTCCCAGAACCACTTTTTAGGCTCAGTACCTTCCCATATGTGGAAAGCCTCTCCCACCCCACAGAATCAACTACTATGTCCTCTCTGCCGCTTTGTTCCTCTGTAAAGGAACAGCCCTGTTGAACAGAGATTGGGGACCATGTTGGTTTCTCCTGCAGGACTACGGGTTGTTTCAGAAGGAACACGTTCTGCTCATCTCTGCAAGACAAGACTATGGTGGTTTCAGCCACAGGAGCCTGGCTAGAATCAATGACGAGGGCTTTAAGAGTATTGAGCAGGAGGAAGACTGGACCGCCCCACTGACAAGGTCGTACATTGCTGAGACAAGGGTGACTTCAGAAAGAGGAAAGGCTGGTAAGGTTGGGGATGTAGGGGTGACCATCAGGCTTTCTGAGCCCTTCTCCACATCCGGGTTCCAAGGTGCAGAAGAGATGGCTGTGAATACTGGACACAAAGTCAGGAGCCGCTGGGCCGTGCCGGCTGCTCTCCCTGGGATGTGTGTCCCCCAGGATCCTGGCACAGATGCCCTTCATCATACCAACCTTCTAGTTTCTTCCAGCTGCTCCGGGATGAAGGATTTCGTTCACCTTTAGTCTGGGCTTCTTTCACGGAGAGTTTTTATTCTCAAACATCCTAACCAGGAGGAGCGTGAGGCAGCCTCTGGGAGCACTAGGTGTGTTCTAAGTCTTTGAGGGGCGATGTCCTGGGGGTGATTCTAGACACAAAGCTTCGCTGAGCTGGGCACCTAAGAAGTGGGCATTGAAGTGAAAAAGTAAAAGAAACGAGCCAAAGCAAAACCTGCCCCCTCTCCCTGTGAGCTCCAGCTGGGGCTGCCGAGCCAGGGGCCAGTGGGCACTGAGGTGCATGGAAGCCGCACTGCGGGGGGACGAGGAAGACAGAGCAGAGGGAGAAAGGAAATCCTCTGAGGTTTCTGGGAAGACAGGACGCCTGGGCTTTGCGGGAGAGAGAAACGCAGGCCTGAGGAAGGCGCTGGGCGTGGAGGACTCCCTTGGTGACCCAGAAGGTGGAAAGCAGCTGCCGGAGGACCAGACAGTCTGGCTGGGCGGGAGGTGGGCACGGCGGGAGCCTGAGCGCTGACCACGGTGCTGGCATGAAGGCGCGGTGGGGGTTTGCTGCGGGCGGGCTGAGCAGCAGGAGGGGGAGCGAAGACAGCGTGACTGCGTCTGATCTACAGTGACGAGTACCAATGTTAACTGTCACCTCTCATCTCCAAACTAAATCACACCTGGAATTGGAGGCACCGAGGAGCTGATAGAGTCAGCCTCGCAGAGGCGACAAGTCAATCAGCGCGGAGATGCGCTCGGAGACACCGGCTCCACGAGGCTGGGCGCCTTCATTCATTCTGGGATTTACACTTGTCAGGCTGCTGCCTAGGTGGGCAGGAGGAGGGGTGGGCGGAAGGCTGGTCTCACTTCAGCTCCACTTAAAACGGGATGACTGGCGGCTTCTCCCCAGGGGTCCCCCAGGTGGCCAGCTTGCTCTTGCTGCCTCTCCAAGTCTCCAGCCTGGGGGTCATTTCCAGACTTAGGGGCAAAAGAAGCCCAGAAGTGGGTGCAAGGGAAAGATGGGTGGTTTCAGGGAAAGCGGCATTGGATGCCCAAGTTGCCCTTACCATGCTAGCAGCATGTGAGGCCAGGGTTCCATTCCAGGCGGCAAAGCATGAGCTCGGGAGGGAGCAGTAGGCCCTTGAAGGATGGATTTACACAGCAATTCTATCTGTGGTCAACTATAATGCAAAAGAGACCTCCCTTTCATTCACGCATCTGCTCATTCAGCAAATGGCACCCACACAGGCTGTGTGAGGTGCTGAGAATGTAGCAGCACAGAGGCCCCCCCATCTGTAAAAGGGGAAGACAAGTGTTTAAAACTTGTGAGGTTGCCACCTACTAGTGTCCTATGATTAGTGTATGACCCTGTAGCTCTCCCATCCCATCGCTGGCCACACTGTCATAATCCTCAGCAGAGCCATTTACAAACATGCTCTTCACTTGTATAAACAAAGCTGTGCTGTGTTGTGCCAAGAAAAATGCTTAGAAATAGAAATTCCAAACACAGAGGGGAAAGAACCATTGATGTCCCATCACTGCTTGAACATCTATTTTAATTCTGTCACCATGATAGTAATAAACTTCATCATAGAAACTTCAGAATGTAAAAAATTAGCATTTTGATTCACTTCCTTCTAGTCCTTTTTCCTAGACCTCTGGAACATTTTTTGCTTCCTTAAAAGTCCTTAGTCCAAGGTACACCCTATCTCAGTGAATGTGGAGTTAGGGCAAAAGCTTCATTCTCTCTCCCGACCCCCCATTCAGCCTAACCTCTGAGGACAAGACTTCATTTTGCCTAGTGCCTGGGCACAGAAATGGTGAACAGGCATTCAGCGGGCTGATCTCTTAATCCAGATTGGTGTAGTCATTTGAAACTGAAAGAAGCTCCTTTTTATGTTGCCTGCTTCTCAGCATTAACTTCTCTTTGATGTAATTTTTGCTTCTGATGCTTTCTCCCTTCATAGGTTAGATTAGTGTGAAATTGGCCTCGCTCCTCTAGAGACTGCAGTGTTAAGCTTCAAATATTTGGTCCTTATTGGAAATCCTTAACCCACATCAGGGGAGTAAAGTGACTGTGTTACTTGGGTGAATGTACGTGTATGCACGTGTATATTTTGTGCCTATATGAACATACGTGTACAGTTCTGGGGGTAGGGGAGGAGAGGAAAAGTGCGCACTAGTGGGGGAAATGGGAAAGAAAGCTGAGACTGTTGTCCACTTACCGACCGCTGAAGAGCTAATGCAGTTGTCTTAATCTTGGGTGGAAGTGTAAAGTGGGTCTTAGGGAACTTGAAAACTTCCTGAGGGAAGAAAGCAGGCTGGTTTGCTGGACCTCTGGCTGGAGCTGTCCAGAGGTCTTGGTGCTGAAGGCTCACGCAAAGAGTGATAGCAACACAACAATCACACAACTCTGCGTATGCTAGGATTATGCCTGCCCAGTGAGTGTTCACTCCACTCAGATGGCAGCAGTGAGTCCCTCCACCACGTCTGCCCTACGTTTTTGCCACCTTCTATGTGACAAATGGCAACCTGCAACTGGGCCAAGCTGCTGGATGGAGGTACTCATCTGCAGAGCACACAGACTGACCACCTGACTCAGGAGAGGGTTCCCCACTTCAAAGGCAGGATGGGGGCCTCCTGCAGTACTTCTGATGTGTTTGGAAAGGAAGATGCTCCAGATGTGATCTCCATCGCACTCCAACTTACTTCCCCAGAAACAAAACCTCAGGTCCCTTGGTCCTAAATTCAGCTTCATCTGAGGACACCCCTGGAGGACAGAAGCTGCCAGAATTGGTCCTGACCATTAACTGTCCCAAGCTATCCTTAGTGGAAGCAGCCACCGAGCTGTATGACCAGCGTAGTGTTCGGTGGGGGCCTTCAGACACTCCCTTCAAAAGCAATTGAACTGTAAATGCTCCAGACTTCAAGTCATTCAGCATACACTTTACCCTGCAAGTGCTTTACCCAGCCCATGTCCTCTGTCCCACTCTCCTGGGCCTTTATTCATCTGTCCCAGCTTCTGCCTCAGTGTCTTTTCTCTCCATAATACTCCTTTCCCCGCGGTCAGCCATCTGTTTGTTGAATGTGGCCTGACCCTCCTGTCCCTTGCCCTGTGCCCTGCTCTTGCCCCTGTCTCCCACTGGACCCTTCCCCTCCTGGCTCACTAGGGTCTCCAACTTCCCCTGTTCTTGCCCTGCTCCTGCCTATCTGCCCCACTCGGTTCCCTGCCAAGTCTCCCTCCTGGAAGTGCCTTGTCCGGCTTCGGGTTAGCCTTGTGCCTCCTTGTGCTCGGGCCTCCTCTCCCCTTCCTGAGTCCGCAAATCACTCCTTCCAGTGTCAGCCGGCAAATTGGTTTATCCTCCCCCCAACCCAGCTTTCATTACCTTGCCGAAATGAAGCGATATCTCCTTGGCGGAGGCTTCCCGTCCGTGCCGCCGCTGGCATAATAAATGAAGACAAAGTGCCGGCGGCACAGACCATCTCTCCCACCGCACCACCAGCCGCTGCCAGCTTCATTATTCGCTTAAGTTGCCGGAGAGAATTACTTAACCCTGACCCGTGTATTAGGGGCCTGTATTAATGCCGCGACAGGCGCCTCTTACGGCAGAGAACAATTTATTAGTGCCGAAACAGGCTGCTTTTCTCTGTCATTTTTCCAATCTGAGCTTTGAACACACATCATTAAACTTGTCTGACTCTCTCCCCTTCTCCATCATTCCGTTTTCATTTTTTTAAACAGAAAGCACCACGGAGAATGGAAATTGTTCTGAAAATCTCCAAGTGCCTCTCCCTCTCTTTTCTCATTTTCTTTCCTTTTTTTTTTTTCTTCTTTTTTATTTTCATTTTTTTGGGGGGAGGGGCTCTTTTGATCTTGTTTGATCTCCTGTTTTTGGAGTCAGAATATTTGGGGATGGAACCTTTGGTTTCTAGAAGGGAACTGAGTTGTCTCTTGCGTGTGGGGTTTGGGAGTTAGAACGACTCTCTTCGCCTGTGTCTTGAGCCCAACCTCAGCTGTCTCCTCTAAATATCTTGCTTCTGGCTCTTTGTTCCAGGTTTGGTGGTTTACTTATCAGGATAGATTCTGGGGACTGGGTGGGGCTGTCCTGGGGAACTTACCAGGTGCACAGCTGGGTAAAAAGGTCCGGAGGGCTGTGAAAGCTTCCAAACAAACACCTGAGCTCAGGTGCGGGTGCTAGCCATGGGCTGGACAGTCGGCCACACACACAGCTTTCCCTGACCAGAACATACAGTGTCAGGCGCTAGGTATTCTCATCTCTGGCTTCTCATGAGGCTTTCTTTCAACACCTGAGCTCGGCCCGTAGCTTCTACATCTTCCCTGGCTCCTGGTCTTGGCTCTTCTGGCCTTGCACTCTAGCTCCTTCAAGGCCTAGAGCTAAAAAGAGCCATGCTGGATGCAGCGGCTGCCTCTGGCCCTCTCCTGCCTGTGGGGCCACAGTTTTTGCTAGCATTTCCCTGGGTGGAGCTTGAGCAGAGTTGGATAATGAAAGGTGGGAAACTGTTATAAGCAGCGGAGTTTGATTCCACAAAGCCCTCAGATCTGGGTAAAGGACCCGGCCCCAATTATCCTTCTGGAGAACCTTATTGCCCACAGACTCCTGTCCCCATCGGTGAAGGGGGCATCAACTTCTCCATATTACTCCCTGCGCTTGGCATGTGTGGCACAGGTGCTGCTATCCCAAGGATTTGCCTTGGGAAAAGTTCTGGAGTAAAAAAACCTGGAGAGAAAGATGAGACTTCCGCTTCAGACACACTAGATTAGGATGGGCTCTGACCAACGCAGCTATGGGTGAAATCAGAAGTGGGTCAGAAGCACGTGAGTATGCCAGTGGCTGCCACTCGTGCTACGTGCCCCACCTCTTGTCCTCATCCTGCCCCTCTCAGTCCTCAACACACATGGTGTCTTAAAGTGCTCAGCTTTGTAGCCCAGTCTACCAAAGGGTTGCACAGCACCAGGCAAGGACATAAACTAGGGAGGCAGGACAGGGCACTAAACAGGAACTGGCAGGGACTAGCATATGGAGGGTGAAAATAGCCCAATACCTAAAACACACTTGCCATTAGACAAGTATTTGAGGGTCAGAAAATTTGTCTACAGACTACCAGTGTAGTGTCACAGTGAGCTATTAACAGAAGATGGAACTTTTGTGAAGTTTTTATTCCCTTTTTTTTGCATTCTGCCCAAATCTAGCTGATGGCTTTGGGGACTGTTTGAAGGTAAGTCCGGGGAGAAGGGGTGGGGGTGGGGGGGGTGGGAAAGCTCATTTAAAAGGCCAGTGGCTTTTCCTCCGTTCCAGTCCTTCCCAAATTCCCTCAGCCTCCAGATCCCTGCAACCCTCCCTCCTGCTTAGCTTAACTCAATAGCTCTTGAAAAGTTCTCTAATCACCTCTCTGCTTCCTGCATTAATGAGCCTCTCATCTCACTGATGGCAATCAGAATATTTGCTTATGAAAGGGACACGGTTAATAACACGATTGCTTCCCTCCGCCTCCTTCCTTCCTCTGCTCCCCCCTCCCCATCCCTCACCTTCCACACAATTCTCTCAATTAACGATAGGCAGAAATTAATTTTTTCCCTCGATCGAAACAATTGCAAGGAAGCGGATTGCCAGCGTGGCTTCAGATAGGGACTGCTCCCAGCAGAGCGCAGAGAAAGGAGGGGAGATAGAGGAGATAAGCAGGCTCTATCTGCAGGCACAGGACAGAGTAATACAAATGTTATCCTTAGAAATGTACTTAAAGAGGATATGTTTATAATTCGGAAGGGATTTTCAGGGGCTCTCCAGCCCTCCCTCCCTCTCCAGGGCACTCCACTCCACTCACTTCTGCACAGCGGAACCCAGAAATTGTTGGGAATTTTGCTCCTGATGCCTCAGTGAACACGATGAGCCCTGGGTGGAAGGAAGACCAGGTTACTCAAGGGTCCTGGCCATGGACTAGAGCGCAGGGCTCAGGCAGCTGCTGATAGTGGCCAAGTGCCAAATGCCAGGTGTGAGGTCTGACAGTTGTGTGGCTTTGCAGGTGAAAGCCTGGATATCTGCACCTGCACCACTCTGGTGTACCTGCCTGGGCTTCTGGCTTGGAGACCCTCCCAGCCCCCTCCTCTGACCAGGTAGAGAGGAAGGGGTCTGCATAGAAGTCACGATCATAATCTTGCGCATTGGTTTAAGGACACTGACTCTGGAGCCTGACAGTCTGGGTTAAATCTCAGCTCTGCTACTTAACGCCTCTATGATTTTCAGTAGGTTATTTAACCTTTTGATGTCGTCATCTGTAAAGTTGGGATGGCCATCACCTTACAGGGTTGCTATGAGGATTAAATGAGTGAATCTTAGTGTATTAGTCAGCCTAACATTACTACCATGAAATATCTAAGGTTAAAGATTCACTTTGGCTCATGGTTATGGAGGTTCCAGTCCAAGGTCTGTCAGCTCCATTCGTAGTTTGGGCCCCTGACAAGGGCAATGCATTGTGGTAGGAGAATATGTTAGATAAAGTAGTCAGATCATGAGCCAGGAAGGAGAGACATCTCTTGTCCCACAATCCTCTTCAAGCTACCACCCCAGTGACCTACACACCTCCCTCTGGGCTCTGCTTTCTAAAGGTTCATTTACATAGTACCACCCAGAGGACAAGCCTCTTACCCATTAAACTTTGGGGGATATTCTGTATCTAAAAGGTAGCAGTTAGTAAATAGCTAGACTAGGAAGTGCCATGTAACAAGTGTCATTTAAATGCTTGATAAAAATAAACGCCTGTGCTTCTGTGACAGCCTGGAATTCACTCAATATTCACTGTACATGAGTCCTACACAGACACAGTTTTAAAGATCTGATGGTCGCTGCTCTTGCCATCAGCTGCACAGAACTCACCCTGACATCACGATGCTGTTGTGGGAAAAGTGCTACCAGATTTGCGCGGGAAGAAGCAGAGAAATTCAGCCAGGGCAATCGAGATCGGTTTCCTAGAGGAGGAGGTGTCTCCTGAGCAGAGAACTTGGAAGACTGGGTTAAACGTTTTAGGCTGGGCGAGGCAGCTGCTGGGCAGAGGGCGGGGCGGAGGAGCACATTGTAACCGCGAAGCCTGCAGGTCGGGGAGGGAAGGTGGAGAAGTGGGCGGGCCCGGAGGGCCACAGCTGTCCCTCTGTCCCTTCCGTCTTTGCACAGACACCCTCCACCCTTTCTCCCAGCATCTCACAAAGATTAACTTCTCTCAGTGCAAGAGAGAAAGTTATCATTAGCCCAGAACTAAAAGAGTGATTAATGATGCACCCCCCCACCCCACCCCTGCACCCCCATCCTTATCTGGTGGCCGCGAGCAGGACCCCGAGGGGGGTGGGAGGGAGAGGCAAGGAAAAGAGGGCGAAAATGCAAAACAATACACACGAAGTGCAGAAGGGGGAGCGCAGCGCTGCTCCCACTTGTTAGATTGCAGGCGCCTCTCCAGGGGGGGAGCCTCCAAATTGCTAATTAGCGCCTCTGAAAAGGCCTGGCTGTGATACGGCGCGGCTGAAAGCCGGCTAATGAAGGCGCGGCGCGGCCGGCCCCTCTCCCGGCCGCGAACAATGCGGCGGGCAGCGGCCGCTCCCCCAGGCCTCGCCGGGACGGCCGGCGAAATGTGGAGGGGGAGATAAGGCGGCGCGGAGGAGAGGCTCCCTCCCAGGGGCCCGGGGAAAATTTGCAGTTATTATGAAGGAGATGAGACAGATTAAAAGCCCTTGTGCGCGCCGCTTTGCCCCTTTATTTAGTGGCTTCATCTGCGAGATGAAAGAAGTTGGAAATGACTTTCTCCGCTTTGCGCTGCAAGAAGCTTCGTGGCACATTTCTTGACTTTATTCCTTCTTTTGTTTCTTGCTGCCTCGGTGTTTAACCCCTGACAGCCTGCTCCGTGAGCACTGTGGGCGCTGGAGCCTGGACGCAGGGACAGCGAAGGGGGTTTCTATGGGCCGTTGGAGGCCTGTGGCTTTATCGTGGGGACAGAGGCTGCACGGGGAAGTGACAGTGCACCCTCCCTGCAGGCCGCAGGAGACCCTCATGCTGGAGGAGCCCAGGCCTGTCCCCGGGCGCTGCAGCGCTGCTTAAGCTCTGGGGGTCCACCACCAAATGACTGGACTCAACCCCGAACTCCCCCACACATCAGTACCTGATCTTGGGCAAGCGAGGCATCTCTGTGCCTCGGGTTCCTGCCTGTAAAATGGGGGTGCTGCTTGATAATGCAGTAGGAATATCTGCTTCCTACATCTAGTAAACTGACTCATTGCTACCCTTTGTGTTGTACACCTCCCTGTCTACACCCTCTGCTGGATGCCTTTCTCTCCAGGCTCCAGGGTTGCTGGCAAGACCTGCTTTGGCCCTGTTTCACTTACAATCCTGATTCAAGCCCAGGCTAGGAAAAGTCTAAGTGTTTGTGCTGCCTCCTCTTCTTAGCATCCTGTTAAGGTGGTGAGAACACGCCAGAGCTAGCCTTTGGTCAGGAGAAAGTGTTTTTGTCAGCTTATGAGGAGAGCTAAGTTGTTCCAGACAAGGACAGTGTGGAACAGTGATGGAGAATGTTTTACAGACCAAACTGGAACCCCAAATACATTTATTTATCAAAAAGTGCCAGCACTGCAATTAAACCTGAATACCAAGGGGTTTTTTTGTTTGTTTGTTTGTTTTGGCTTGGTTTTTTGGTACCGGCAATGGAACTCATGACCTCACACTTAACCAGGTAAGCACTCTAACCGCTAAGATAAATCCCCGGCCCTGACTACCAACATTTCAGTTTTGAAAAAAACAACTGTTATCCAGGGTTGGGCTGCAGGGGTGACTGAGCTCATGATCCAACAGAGAGGACTCTGTGTGCCCACTGTGGCATGCTTGTCATAGGTTCACTGTCACCCCCCCAGAAAATTGGGCTCCCTCTGACTGGGGGGGGGGGTACATGAACAAGACCGTCCAATACCAACCATGCTTAGCCCAGGTGGTAGAGCTTCCTAGCCCCCTATGAACTTGTGAGAAGCAGTAAATGAAAGTGGTTTTAAGTAACTAAATTTTGGACTGGCATCCTATTATTGTGGCAGTAGATAATTGATATACTAGTTATGCCTAGAAATCAGGTGCTGCCTAAATCAAACCAACTCTGACATACATTGCACTGACTTTGGGATTGAAAAGCAAGTGGAGGCTGGAAAAGATGGTGAAGAAACTGCTCTAACAGGCTCGGAGGAAAGCCGACCCCTATTATGCCTGGTGCAGTAACTGCTAAGACTGTTGTCTGAAGTCATTTGGAAGATGGAAGTACTTAATGAACTCACGGGTTTCAGTAATAAGATTTCCAGGAAGAAAGCTGAAAGGATCAGGTTGCTCTTCCTAACTGAATTGATGGGGGACCCTGAAGAAAGGTGGTGTGGAAGAAACAATGACCCTTTTGTTAACAGAAGTTAGAGAGGGATGTTAACAGCCCAGAACTTGCTGGACTGGAGAAAACTACTGTTTCTGCTGTCCAGCTGCTCTAACTAATAAAAGCTACTCAGATAATAGAAGACCTGAGAGTTTCACTTCTGCCATTAGTGAAACAACAGAAACTGTATTTAATCTCTCATCTTAACTAAGGAGACATAAATATTTTCAGGAGCCATTAAGGTAAAATTAGCCATGTCTGAAAAACAATAAAAAATGGATGAGATAGAGAAGCAGGAAAATATAGTTATAAAGGAATTTGATCAATAAATATAGACACAGAAATCACATCAATGATAGGACTAGTGGACAAAAACAGTGGTCTACAGTAGACTAGTGTACAGAAAACTGACGTGCTGAAAATTATACAGCTATTATAACTATATTTCATATGTTTAACAAGATAGGAAAAAAGGCATATTAAAGAGATATGGAAGATACATTTTTAAAAAGCGCTGTATATCTGGGCCAAGGATACAGCTCAGGGGAACAGTGCCTGCTTGGCAAGCATGAGGTCCTGAGTTCGATACCTGGTACAAAAAAATCCCATATTAACTTCTGTACAAATACAATATGTGAGTTGAATATATTGGATTAAATAAACAGCAGATTAGATGGCGCAGAAGAAGACAAGATTAGTGATTTTGAAGACATAGCAATATAAACACACAAAGAAAAAAAAATACCAGTAATAGAACAGAAAGAAAAGGAGGCACAGAAGAAGAAAGGAGTAAGGAATTAAGATATAGAGGGGAGGAGGGTGTGAGGGAGAGAGGGAGAGAGAGCGAAAGAGAGATCGATTTAATAAAAACAATCTAGAGCAAGTTAATCTATGTGCTCCTTGAATAATGATGGGTTATAATCTGATAGGCCCATCACAAGTTGCAAAATTTAGATTGTGAGTCTAAAATACATTTAACATACCTAACATGTTAAGCATTATAGCTTCACCCATCCTTTTAAAAACATCTTCAGAACGCTTATGTTAGCCTGCAGTTGGGGAAAATCGTCTCTCGCGAAGACTACTGTATAATAAAGTGCTGACCACCTCTGTGATTGAATGAATACTGTACTCAAAGTGAAAATCAAAGCGATTGTATGAGTACTCTCTCAATGAACAGTGAAGTAAAAAATAAAAAACCACAAATTGAACCATTGTGAAGTCAGGCCCCATCTGTAATCAGAATTCCAGAAGTAAGTAAGAAATGAGAGGAGACAATATTTAAGAAATAATAGCCAAAAGTTTTTTAAATTTAACAAAAACTATAAACCCACATGTCTTAGTCATTTTCTTGTCTCTGGGGACAAAATACCTGCCACCTACAACTTGAAGAGGGAGAGGCTTTTTATGACTCACGTTTTCAGTCCATAGTAGGCTGGTTGCAAGACAGGAAGGGCCTGCTGGAGGAAAACTACTCAAATCATGGGAGCCAGGAAGAAGGAAGGGAAGGGAGGAGCGAGGGAGGGAGACATAGCATCTCAGGTCATGCTTCCTTGTGATCCGCCACTTCCCTCCAGGCCCCACCTCCCAGAAGGACACTGAGCCACTGAACTTACCAATGGATGAATCCACTGATGCGTGTATCACCCCCATGATAATCTTACGAAAAGCCCTATGAGTACATAAAGCTTGGGGTGAGGTATTCTTGATCTAAGCTCTGTTACCACAGACCCTAGATTCTACATCCAGCAAAGACAGCTTTCAAAAACAGACATGATAAATGACTTTTTCAGGGAAATCAAAGCTGAATGAGTCTACACAAATGTACCAGAACTACAAGGAATGCTGAAGAAAATATTTCGGACAGAAGTAACTTTATACATGGGAATCTGAATCTACAAAAACAATTAAAAGTACTGAAGATGGTTTTTATAAAACTATAAAATATTTTTATTTAAGAATTATTAATGCAATGATTCTTTATGATGAGAAAAAGCTGTAGGATTTCTGCCATATGCAGAAGTAAAATGTATGACAACTGATGGGCTCTGGACTGGTTACCCCAGAATGTGACATGTTGGTCACAGAGGATATAGCAGAAACAGGCCATGGGAACTACAAAGAATTCCTCTTGTCCTGTCCCCCTAAAGATAGGACCTTCATTCAGAGGTGTCCTCATGTGCTGAGAGAACAAGAAACTTTATTCTCCCTGGCACAGACACCAAAAGGAATCTGAACCCACAGACCTTGCTAAATTCCCCTAGTTTGTTTCCCTAAGTCACATCCTTTGTCTTCCAGTCACACGTTTGCATGTCTGTTCATAGACACATATTGTCCTTTCTTTGGGTCTTCATTTTTGAATGTTCCAGGGTCAGGTAAAACTTCTTTTAAACACATTTGCACACTTTTATCTTACTAATATGTTTTTTATTATAGGTACTTCAGCCGCGAAGCTTGCAATGCCATGAGAAATCTTTTTGAAAGGTTCAATCAGAGGTCATATAATCCTCTGCTTCTCTATATCTGGGCAAAGGAGACAGCCCAGCCACCATGGTTGTGTGCTACTTTCCATGTCCTCAACTCAATAAACCTGTTCATTTTGCACTTTTTGCTTCTCTGTTGCACCAGAATACTCTAACACTTTTCATCC